ACTGTATAGGCTTTATATACAGTAGGCATTATATGCTGCCTCAGTCTTGGAAAATAGATTATGTGCAACCACCTTACAGTACCTTCCTAAACAATTGTCAGCGCTCAGATATTTATCTCTATAATGCTACAGTATATAACCAATTACTGCAGCAATGTGTGACCAGCAGACGCTGGAAAGGGTGTACTGAACTGTCAGAGGGAGGCTCGGATTGGACGTTGACATTTTTTCAGCATATTCTTCTGACCCCAGGTGTCTGTAGTCACAGAAACCCTGAAAGCTCTTTGGATGCTCTGAGTGCTGTAGTTAAAGATAGAAGACTCTGCTGCTGGAACAGAAGGGTACAGAACGACTTTGCTGCTAGTTCACAGGGGGTGTAAAGACAGTTCTGCACTGCGATTTGTCACTTCTAAATACCATCGCTGTGGCAACAACCTAAAGAAAAATCTGTCATTACCACTCTTTATAAATGAAAAACAAGAATCAGTGGGAAGAGAGGATGATAAATATTGTTTTAAAAAAGCCTGTAATGTCATGGAACCCTAGCTGTCCTTCACAGATTGAAAGGAAAGTTACTGAAGGTTCCATTTGCTTTGCAACAGTTAGTGGGGAAATTCCAACATATCACACAGTGATGGGGAAAAAAGCCTTAAAGCATGAAGGTTAAAACTTTTTGCGGTATTGTTCTGGTTCCCTACAGAGAGATGTGCACATGCCTGCTGGAGAGCCAGTGCAGTCTCTCTGGCCTGGGGTGTGAGGGAAGCCATGTGATGATGCAGATGTGTTATTCAAACACCATGAGTGATCAGAGGAGCAGAACTCAAACAAATACGGTGCATCAATCATATTGAAAAGAAGAGTAGGATTAAGAATAGAATCTCTTGCTTAAAGAGATACTTAAGCAGTTTGTACAGAACCTAGCAAAATGTTTGCGGTAAGTCTGAATCTCACTGAGTTTTCATGATTAGTGAGGTTGTGATTGCGCTTCCAGATCAATGCAGAAGAGCCAGTATCACTTTTAGATGGTTTTCTGACTACCAGTGACACTGCTTTACGTGTGGACTGGCAAATCTTCATAGCTGAGGTGGGAAAGGCATCACAAAACAACACTACAAAACACTCGAGCTGCTGATAGAGTATGTATTTTTGTTATACACAACACGATAGCTGAGGGAAACGTAAATTTATCTGTTTTGAGGAAAAAATGTGATGGTATCTCATAATCATTCTCAAAATGATAAATACTTAACATCTGCAAGTCTTCAGGAGCTTTAGAAAAATGAATTCATAGACAGTAACATAAAATTATACTACCCGATCAAGACCAGACAGTGTAATCATTTTGGGTAAATATTGGGTAAATATTGGTGGGATTCTTCTTTAAGCAGTCCTGAGTGAGACCTCATGACTTCCATGTGCAGAGCCATGGGCGGACTCAGCTGATCTCATCAAGCAGTAATTGGACTGAGTCCTTCAGAGCCATGAAACTGAAGGATCTCATTATCATGGCCTGACCTGCTAGAGCCCGCAGTGGGAGCAACATGATTTTACTGTATCCAGAGCACATGATGAGTAATAGGAGGGCTGATACATGCTGCAAGTGAGTACTGGGTCAAGACCTGTATGTGATAAAGCCAGAGGGCAAGGGAGTGGATCACACAGCAGCAAACTTGTCTTCTTCCCAGCTTGTGAGCAATATGTTGCTTTCTGCAACCAGCGGTAGATAGGAAGTGTTCAACACAAAATTGAGCTCTTCATATTACATTCTGCACGGCGCAGTATAGACCTGGTAATTATAAAACTGTGGTTTTACATTTAATCAGTATAAAAACAGAAATACTGCTTTCACTGAAAAATAATATGCAGTTTAAGGCACCGTGTTAATAAATAAATGAAAACAAGATTGTCAAAGCACGTGTTCTTGACAGGCTTTAATTGATAAGTTGCTATGATGACATTTAAAGTGATTCAGTGGCCAATATTTAGCAGCTAGTCCTTTTATTTTCTTAAGAACAAAGAGTGTTGGCAAATGAGGAGTCCTTTCAGTCCACCTAGCTCCTTTCCTTTTAAGTCTTTGTGCTTTGAAATCCTTAACAATGAGAAGGAAGCTGAGAATTCAGAGTTGCAACGGTGAAAGTACAAGTATAGAAAGCAAGAAGTGTGGAAAATAGTTTGTGCTTAGAGCAAAAAGTATTAATATAGCATGAGCATTCCAGCCAAGAGCACATGTTTTTCCCTAGTATGGCACATGAGTGCTGTTCCCGGCTCTCATTCTCCACCAGTGAACAGAGCAGAGCTCCACCTTGTCCCAGCTCGGTCACTTCCTGAGTGCTCTGATTGGGTCCATGTTCTGTAGCTGCTCTGGCCAGTGGTAATGAGTAGGGCAAGCCATCAGCACAGTGCAGCTCTTGAACTCAGCTTTAAAGGGGCAGTACTGAGCATGGCAACGCTAGCTCTGACTCCAAAATGAATGCAGAAGGCAAGTGAGCGCAGATCAGTGGTGCAGGGACTCTAGAACTAGCTCATGCTATAAGGGAACGCTGTGTAAAGGATTTATCACCTGAAGGCTGTGCTTATTTGTTAATCAAGTAACTGCAAATCAGTGTTATCATACAAAGATGTGGCTGCTGTCTCTAGCAGACAATCGTGTCTTATTAACTGCAAACCTAGTAAGATACCCTGAGCTATGCTGTCCATTGGTCAAAGATGCAGCAGATCAATACATAATTTAAAATCTCATTCCAGCAAAAATCCAGACCGATTTATAATTTCATGCACATTATTAACAGGAGCTTAAAACTGTTCTACTTGATTGCATTAAGAGAGAGCAGAGAAAAATATTTTTATAATACCATATTATTTAAAGAAATTATAAGACAAAATGAGCACTGTAGATTGAAAACTTGTTTAGAATATGAGTATTAACTGAAAATAAATTAAATACCACTAAATCATGCAAAGAAAAACCATCCCTCTGTACACTTGTAATGAGACTGTATTCAAATGACTCTATGCATTTCAGCTGGTGGAAGTTAAATACAACTGTCAAATCATTTTGTTCAGGTCTTCCAAGAGAGAGCTTCCAAGAGAGCTCTATGAGCCAGATGTTGCAGGTTTCGAGCCTGGGTCATATAATAGCCGGTTGGCTCTGGGTAAACACAATGCCCCCCCTGTGGGCTCCTGGGTCTTCACAGGCTGGCAGTGCTGCTGGTGGGCAAAAAGCCCCCCCCCCCCAATCAGACAGCCCTGAGCTGCTGACTTGTTCAAACACACTCAAAATCTGTCCATCTCCTTCCACCTGAGTGTGTCCAGCAGCCTCGTAAAGTGCTCAGGGTCACTCCACCAGATGTCTGCTCCATTGTGTTCTCCATGCTTTGTGATGGGTAAAATTACAACATGCCAGTATAACTCACCCCGTTCTCTCCAATAACCTTGCAGAGTTGACCCCAAAGACATAAACAACAGGTGTAGAGGGATGAATTATTCCTCTACTGCCCCCTCATATCAGCCTCACTCATGGGCAGGGGTGCTGGGGTCACGCAGATCATAACTCTCTTGAAATCCAGAGACGAACTGTACAGTATCTTCAACAGTGTAGTGAGGAGTGGAGTTCTAGTCCGGGTGATCTCGACTGGGGCTGCCTACATCGCAGCCTTTTCTAAACAGTCTCTCACTCCTGCATGGTGATCGAAACTGTTTCACTCAGGAGGGAGATTATCCATCCGTGTGCATTGTTGTTATTTTTTCTGCAATATGATGTTAACGGTCATCCCCGAAAATATTTTTAATCGAATAATAACCTTGTTCTAATGAATATTTCTGGTGAAAGAGAATGGGAAATAAAGGTTAAGACAGACTGCAAATCTTAAGAGTCTTAAAGATGACTAGTGAACCCCTTATATCGTCATTATTAAAACATTTCACTCCTTGTGTGCTTTTTCTAGAATACCCTTAAGAACTGTTAAGGATTGTAAAAAAGCCTATGCAGTAAAGAAAGTGTTTGAAATGAATACCTTACAATCGATTTCCAGCTGCTTAAATCTGCAGCACAACCCTATTATTCAGTCATTGAAATCGGCTAAGACTTAAAAGCACTGCAGTAAAATACATTTTTATCTAATAATGTGGCTGTTAGTTTTTTCCCCCATTACAACAATGTTAGGCCTCTGTTAGCTGCAGAGAAGACTGTCATTATTACTGTTTTTTAATGTTTTGCTGGAATTTTCTGTACCAGTTAGTACTGTAGAGGCACCGTGGGAGCACAAAGCACGTTAGTGGGTATTTCTGACACTGACAGGCTGCTAGAGATATCGCTCAGTGATCTTTGGTCTTTTAGTATTTATAGCGCAGAGCCCAAACAATTACAGCTACACTGGTGTTTTTGAATGGCCTGTCTGGCCTAGTCAGAAATTCATACATCTCCCTGAGCATTCATTTTCAGCAGAACAGCAAACAGCAACGCGTGTTTCATCAGACTGCATATTCTTTCCTCCATCTTACAAAACCTTTTTCCGAAATGTACACTGAAGGCTCAGGCAAAGACTCCTGGAGTGAAAAGCTCCCCATGGAGCTGAGGATGAAGTTATAAGAAACAATTCAATTTCAGTGTTTCAAGGGGCTATTATTAATGCATAAAATACTGCTGCTGAAATGCTTACAACATTGAGTTTGCCTTTCTGATGTTCATATGTTTGAATAATCCAGACTAGTACTGTATATTGAGCATGCCCATAAATAACTTACACACCTTGTTTCCCAGCACTACAGTATTGTAGTAAAAAGATACAAACAGCTCCTCCTTTTAAGTAAGTATTCAAGTTATTTACTCATTCACTTGGATACAATTGGATAAAAGTCCCATTGGATTTCTGATTTTGTAGAAATTACATTTTTTATACTTGCAGAGCCCCTTAAAATCTCTTTTAAAACATTAAAGGAAGATGACAGAAATCAAGACAGAATTTGTAAAATTATTCTAATATTGCATTTATTTCGTCCAAGCATGTTTTCACTTAAAAAAGTCTCATACATGTTTGTATGTTGTACTGTATAAGGCTTTTGTATATCATGCAATTCATAGTCAATTATTTCCATCAGAGATGGCTTTTCTCAGTGGTTTAAAACACAACCTTTAAGAATAATACAAAAATAATAAAACAAAAATACAATAAGACTTATTTCGTGGACATTAATTTATTGTGCTGATACTTGGTCTTTTCGACTAGTAAAATACATTAGCTTCCAGAATGTCAGGTTGTTGAGAAAAGGTTTCAACCTTCCCAAAATCATAACACTCTTTTTTAAAAGGTTTTGCTGCAGGTCCAATTAAGCTCTGAGGTGATCTGTAGTAAATTCTATATCGTACTTACAGTACACTAAAAAAACATGACAGTTCTCTTATTCTTCCTCAAAGTAGCCTTCTATCTGTTTTCATTGTAAAAGATTACCTGGGCAGGTAAACCAGAAATTAACTGTACATTTACATGCCGATGACAATCTGTGATGAACAGCTGCATATAGGTAAAGATTACCTGACCAATGAAATGTACTACAGATTCAAGTGGCTGTGACACAACATTCTTTTTTTCGCTATTAAATGTCCTTAAGTTCTGTACACCATAACCCTCACAGCATTGCACGAGTAGGATTTCAAACTTGGCCTCTTTCACAGTCATCTTAACCCTCACATTCTGGCTGTTGGAGATGCAGAGGAAATGCACAACCAGCCTGCATACAATTCGAATTCCTTATCCTGTTGGGCGTAGAAAACCCAAACACGTTCAATCTGTATAAAGGCAGACTTCAGAAAACGCATACCATCAGAAAAAAAAAAACAGAAACTTTTTGAATGTGTTCTTTAACATCTTTTACATCTTTTACATCATCTCTGTAGTACATTCTTTCATACAAAATATATTCTGCTGGAGAGATGACGTTTGTATTGAACAAGTTATTTTACATTCCAGAACACCTGAGCTCAGGTACACACTTGTCCAAAGCACACAGAAATAGGAAAGGTGCCAACATGCAGCACGAGGGCAGCGAAATCCCACACAGCCTAAGAGAAGAAGAGGGTCTCCTAACCCTCACCCTGCAGCTCCCTCTGGGAGAGCTAACGGCTGTGCAGAGGTCAGGCAGTTCTACTAGAAGCCCAGATTGAATACCCTGGTCTTGTTCAGCTACTGTCTCCCCCTCTGATTGCATCAAAAGTGTTGCATAGTTAATGACATCACAATTCTCAGAATAAACGCCCGAGAAAAGCAAGCTGGGGCTTTCAGCCCCTACCAACTCGCCCCAGTCGCAGTATGAGGCAGAGAAGGCAAGAGCAGATTGCTTATTCTCCTGTGCCCAGTGCACTTCTCTGCTGGGTGGAGCAGACTCGGCCCACCCCTTTAGAGATGAACTATGGCATCAAAAAATCTGCATGGAAGTGACAAATTGAAGATCTTGCAGGCTGCTTCTTCCTTAATGAGAATGAGTTCCTTTCCAATTGGATACAGCACAGGATCCAGACAGCTACATACAAGTTATTAGAGGAGCAGATGTTCTCTGCAGCATATGGCACCCATACACGATAGCCAGAGAAAGGTAATGGGTGAGCTGTATTCAGATCTTCTCTGCAGAAAATGCATTTAAAACCTGTTTGTTTGAAAAAAAGCAGAGACGAAAAATAAGCTCAAAACAACATTTTTTTTCCAGCTCGCTGACGCAAAAAAAACACGCTTTTTTTTCCAAGTCTCAAAAAACTCCTTAGATATCCTCAGTATAGAAACCCTCTTCATTTGGCCCTGAAGTTTTTCTTTAATACACCTGAGTCTATGTTTTAAAAGTGGCCTACTAACATAAGCGCATCAAACATCAGTCTGAACTGGTCATGTTTTTTGCAACATTAGGTGCATTCATTTGATTCTGTGAAAAACAGTCATTCTGTAAAGATCAAAACACAAAAAAGGAAAATCTGTATATTCATATTGTGCTGGAATGGTACTATATTACCATTGTCCCTTAGAAAAAAACCTTGCTTTGGAGAGTACTGGGCTGCTGTATGTTCCACTCACGACTGGCGATGATCAAGAACGGCCTCCTGCCATGGATGGGGAGGGGCCAGAAAGGCTCTGAGTTTTGGAGTTTTTGAGTCAGGGTGATTATTCTGTCTGTTCTCCCATCTTCGCTCCACAGGAGCGCCCTCTCCTCCAGCTCCGGCCCTGAGACGGCTCAGCGGCTGAACCCGTGGGACCTCGGGACGTGGAGCGGAAGAGAGAGAGACACATCCGTCCCCTTTGGAGATCCTGAGTGTCCCAACTGTCTTTTCAAGAGGACCGGCTTCCTAACAGAACCGAGGTTTTTTCCGCACCGTTTTTATCGAGTGACAATACCCGTGAACAGCTTTAACATTTAGCACCCGGAGCCAAATCGGCAAGGGCCGAGTTGTTCAGCTTGGGTGAGGCTCCCTGGGGCGTAGCTGGGCGAAGGAGGTCTGGACTGGGTGGGCAGGCTGAGGCTGGTGTGGCCCCCACAGAGAACATGACTCCCCGTTGACAGCGCTGGACAGCATCCAGGATGGGAGGCTCCTGGGCGCTTCCACCATGTCTACCATGCACTCCAGATGTTGAGTGAAAAGTCCTAGCTGTCACTAATTAGACCCCAGGTCATGTCTCTAGCCAGCTGTGACCAGGAGTGCCAGCGTCGTGCTGCAGGACTGTCTCAGCACCAGTAGGGTTAGGGTTAGTCGGCCAGTATCCTCTGCCTTTGTTGCAACAACGAGCACTGGTTAGTTTGCTTGCTTCGCAGGGAGACGCTGCTCCTCCGTTAGGCACTGGCACTTACGCTGGGCGCTGTGGAACCTTGCCAAGTGGGAAATGATGCGTGACTCTGCAGGTGGGAGTCTGCGTGTTTAATACTGATTCGGGAATTGTGGCACAAGAGTGGAGTCTTAAAGCAATCGATGATCCCAAACTGAAGAGGTGTATAATTCATATAAAAAAGCAGTGGGTGATTTATAAAATAGCAAAAAGTGACTATCCTCCTTTGGATCCACACCTGGGGTTTGGGTTCACGTGGCTGAGGCTCTGCAGAAACTGGTGTGCTTGTGCATCTATTCATTCTGGCAGAGCAGTTTTAATCCTAGGCTGTGAGAATTCGACCACACCTGTTCAGCAATTCAAAACCACCACAGTACATACAAAAATAAGTGTCCTTATCCATTAATGTCACCTTGTTCGCTGATAAACAGTAAAAGAGGACACCAGCTTGAAAAGCATCAGAACTGTGAGGTTAGTTATAAATAACATTAGCCACTCCACACTCTGATTAAAGAACAAGGCAATTCAAGACTGGACAAGTCATTAAAATAAATCAGTATTAGCACAATAAATTTTTATTACTTCGCTTGAAAAATTATTTGCATTTTTGTCTCTATATATTAGATACATAAATATGTATATATAGATTCGTCACAAAATATAAAATATGGTGCAAAAGTTCATGAAAGTGTCTAAGCACCAAAAATAGACAAGTTCAGCTCCAATGGCTGTTCTGTATTCGTGCTAGTGTGTTAGAAACGAACACTCCATTATACCACACCCCCAAAACATCTCTTCTCGGGAATGGAAAGTTGACCTCACGTACTGTGAAAAGTGCTAAACAAATTCAGTGCTCACTGCATTCACATGACGTACAGTAGGCAGACCTGCAGTTCAATCTTTCTTTCCTGTACATGAAAATAATAGAAATATACATCATTGGCATTTTTTTTACAATTCATAAGTACTGAACACTTCAAAGCATGCAATAAGTTCTCCTCTGGATGGGAGTGGCCCCCTGCAATGCTGAGTTAAGTTGCTGGACTAGTAGCTCTGACTAGATGAATGCAGTGCAGCACAAATGCTCTGCCTGGCAATGCAATTGAGATGTAACAATCTAGGGTCGGTAATACACCCTCTGAAGCAGGACAAACAAAGATCTTTCCTGGGGTTCCCTGCTGTACATCTGGACCTACTGTAAACTGTTTTTTCATATAGTTAATGTTTTAGTTGCTAAGTTACTGTGAGGGTCATGATGAAAGAAGTATAATCAGTCCATGCCCAGTGACTTTGTCACTTTGCAATTTATTCTTTCAACCTAATAAAATTATATATTGTGAACAAGTTATTGGCCCTATTGTTGCATCTGTTTGTTGCTATCTGTTATTGTCAGAATATCTTATAGACAGAATATTCCTAGTCATCTTTTCCCCCTTTTAAATGGAAGCTTGTGCTTTTCATTTCCTATCACATTTTTACATTTTTTCAGCTCCTATTTGGTTTCTCCACTCAGAAATCCAAAATTTCATCGAGAAGGTAGAGTGTGTTGTCTCTAACTGTGGACTGAGAGCAGTTTTGACAAATGTCAGCTTACTTACTGACTTACTAACACAGAAGCACTGCAAGCCCTTTTGTGGTGCTGCAGTGCATCCTTTAATCCCAATGTCGAATCCCAATGTCAAAGCTTTTTTTTAATATGCATTAAGATTCTCCTTTTATCAGAAGTGCCTATAAATTTCCACTTCTTTTTTATTGTTCAGGATATAAGGATTCCCATGGGATGATTGCTGAAGGTTTAGATCAACTTCCCTGCAACATCTTCTTAACAGAAAATAAATTAAGGCCATCCTCTTAACAATATGTTAATAAATGAGTACAGTGAAAGATTTAGTTGAATATGTGACAAATTGTTCTGTGCAAGATCACAAGCTCACTATACGCTTGGAATCTAAGCCTTATAAAGGAGACTGTAACAGTATTCCTGTTTCATCTAGTAGATATGGCTTTAACAGGGGGATCTCTTCTGCTTCCCTTATTTCTACACACAACAACTCTTGGTAACCCTGTAGACCATTATGAACCAAAAAAAAAGTTAGCAAAAAAGAATCCCAGGTGGATTACCTCAAGTGCATGGAAATCACAGGAGCTGTAATGAAAATGAACTAAGACGCTAAACTTTCCTTTCCCTTCCAGCATGTCAATATCAACATGACACAACAATGTGGACTGCATTCAGAGTCCATTGAAAGAACCCTGAGCTGAGCATTTGTACACAATTGTTTAAAGCAAAGTCATATAGTGTTTAGCACAATTGAGCCGAGAATCGATACTGTTTTGCACTTAACTCAGCAGTGCAGTCGCTCCAGTACACTGAGGAAGGAAAGAGTATTCTCACTGTGCTGGAGGTGTGCAACAGACCTGGCTCATCGCCTCCCCTCAGCTCAGCCCCTGAATTTTCCATTGAACATATTATGAAAACAATCTAGTACCCAGGTATAAGGTGTAGAGCTATAAATTCCCTTTATCTTGCATGCAGTCAACTGCATAATTTACAAGCAAACACGATCTCGAATATTTTTCTTTGGCAGGCCAGAATCCAGCTGGACATGCAAATAGGTATTTACAGAAAATATATATATATATGTATTTCTTTTTCTTCCTGCGTCCGCAAGAGAAAATAAATGCAAATAAATAAGGAATAAATAAATGAGCGGATTCAAAACTGTACATCATCCTTTTCCGAGTCAGGTGTGACGGGCCTGGAGACGGTGAAAATATCCTGGCATTTGATTTTGGTTTTAGGGGTAGAAGTCTGGGGTGTCCCTCTCTTTTCGGAGAGCAGTTTCAAAATCTCGCCAACCTGAGCCTCCAAGGTTGCCATCCGGTTGCTAAGCAACTGAATGTCCTCCTTGAGCTCGAGCTTGGCCTCCTGCAGCGTGGTGTGCAGGGCCTGCTCGGGGATGGGGTAGAAGGGGTGCCGCACCTCCATCTGGACGGGGCTGTGCTCCAGGGGGCTGCGCACCTCCCCGGCCTTGTCTATCCTCAGGTCACTTTTGGTGATCCCGCTGTCGCAGGAGTCTGTTTTGCGCAGGGGGTTCTTCTTTCCCCCTCCGCCATCTGCCTCCTGGCTCTTGGAGTCCTCGGAGAGCAGCTCCATGGACTCCGCCTTGGTGACATTGTTCCACTCCTCCTTCTTCTCCTCCCCGGCCCCCGGGAATGCCGCCATGTTGTTCCTGAGGCGCATCCACCCCCGGTTGCTGGCGGGTTTTGCCCGCATGGGGCTGCTGACCTTGAGGCAGTTCTGGTCGCTCACGCCGTTGGGTTTGAGCTCCATGATGTCCCGGTTGTTCTGCTTGCTGGGCTCGCTGGTCTTGACGTAGAGCAGAGAGTTCTGGATGGGGGTGATCTGGGAGACAGTCACGACGCTGCTGCCCGTGGTGGGGGCCCCGTTCTGCATGACGTGCGGGCACTGGAGAGGCTGCTGGCGGGGGCGCAGGTGGTGCTCCACCTGCAGCTGGTTCTTCTCCAGGTCGTGCTGCGAGGAGCCCTGGTTGCGCAGCTCCTTCTGCTGCTTGAACTTCTGGAAGAGCTTCCTCACCGGGTGGTCCACCGGGATGGATAGGGTCACCTCGTTCTTCTGCCTCTGCCGCTCCTCCTCCTCCTTCTTGACGTCGCTGATCTTCCGGAAAACTATCTGCGGAGGAGCACAAAGAAAATGAGGAAAATCTGCAAGTCCATCTCAAGCGCCCCAGCTCTCAATCGTTCCTCTACCTCTGGCATGTGGGAACTCCCAAGATGCTCATGGCATTTGTATGACATGTATGGAAAACACTGGGCCAGGAGTAGAGCTGGGGCACAATGGAGATGCACCAGTTCCCACGGTGCAACTGATGGTTCATGTATCACAAAATCAACTATGGATTCTGCAAAAGGAAGCAAAAAAAAAAAATGCAAAAAAAATCTGGCTGTGGGAATTCCAAAAAGGAAGTGTGTATTGGCAGTTTAAACAAGGGCTAATAACCCTTTAAAAACATGCTAGAAAAAAACTGATTCATCTCTTTATCTCAGGATTGTGTGTTTATACTGTCATATAAATGCGATCTTCCGGAAAACAGGTGGAGTAGGAATGATTGCATCTGTCAACCGAATCCCTCAGAACAAACAAATCCTCAACCAAAGTGTGGCTCAGTGAGTATGGGTGGGCCAGTGTTACACTCCCAGTGTGGCACAGGTATGCTTCTGATCATGAAAACACTGGGCCGTAATTGGAGTTGATACATATGGTCCATCTTGATCAATAAGATGAACTGATATTCCACAGTGAGACTCAAGAACAACCGGTTCAGACTGCATGACTCCATGTTGGTGACCTGGGGTCAGGCCTTCGGCCACTGATAGACAACTGTATTATGATGAAATGATGGAAATCAGAAATGGGGGTCATGGTAAACTCTTTCAGAACACCAAGAAGATGCTCCAGATTTCTCTCCAAGTCTGGCGGATTGTGCTAAACTGAAAATAGCTGCTGAAGTCTCAATATTCAGGGATTTAATTACCTGCAGATGCTCCTACAGGTAATTAAATCCTGATGATTTGCAATACAGTATATTTCAGATGTGTAGATCAATCTTCCTGAAAGACATCATAAGATTTCTTTGTTTTGCTTTCAGAAAGATTGTTTGATCCATATTGTGCTTTAATTACTAATTGAATGGTTCTTGAAAGATCAGCACTAGGAATTATCTGCATGGGTCATGGTCTGAAATGGAACCAATTTTATTCATATTTATATCTAATTTTTAAGCATTTCTTCATTGTTTCAAATTCTTTTCCTTTTATTTTGTTTATTTAATCAAGGTTTGCTTGAAAAGATGTTCAAGTGGAATCTTTTTCCCCACAAACCAAACATCTGATATCAGGCAGGGATTCATTAAAAATAAACAATTATTCTTATCTATTGAGCGTCTTTAGATACTGTACATAAATTATGCATTTTCTATGTAGTAATGAACACATGCCATACAGATAATAAATAACCCATGAAGATAAAAATAGCAGAAACCAATCATATGATCTTATCTCCGTTTAACTTCCCCCTGCAGTGTGACTGCCATGTGTCACATCTTACCTTCAAGGGACAGTTGTAAATTTTGCATGATTATTATTATTTAATTATTTAAGCTATGATGCTTCTATCCCCAAGCAAGCATGATGTGAGGCTATGAACATTTGATCTAATAAGGTTTAGTCACTTTAATTGCATGCATTCCTGGTAGGGCACTGAGTAATTTATACAATGCTATCTATATTTAAAACAAATTATTGCACATGAAAAATCACATTGTCTTGTAGGTCCAGGTCTGGAACACAGTCATTGGCCAAGATTCATAAAGTGAACCTCAGGCTCCATCAGGTCCTGTTAGACATAACATAACATGTTCCCACAGATAGCCATTGCTTTTATGTGTTATTATTTGGCTTTAATATAATTTGATCATAATGGGTGAACAGCAAGAATCACGATCAGGTGAAATAAGATATGTAATCAGTCTAACCACCTACAGAGCTTTTCTTATAATACATAATTATGACTGTTTAATTGGAAGAATGTTTTAATACTGTAAATGCACTTCTGATACATCAGCAGCAGGCTTTTTAAAATTCATTTCATAATGTACTGACCGATCAGATTAATCGGTTAACTATTTCTTAATTAATATTACCGGACAATTTACAAAAAACAATGCATGGAAAATATGGAATTTTATATAGCACAAATACAGATTTCATCATTGGTGGAGTCCCTGCTTTTCTAAGAATGTACTACTTTTACATACAGCAGACAAAATGAACACGTCAATATGGATAAAGAACAAATAAGTTATTAATGCAGCATACTTGATAGAAAAGAAAGTTTAACAAAAACATTCATGATCTGGAAACATTCACCATGGTTGGAAAGAATGTTTGGAGAGAAAAAACTACTCAGAAAACTAAAAAGAAATTATTGTAGCAGCTTTTGATATTTCACACATGGTAAACATGACTTCTGGGCTTATGTTCATGTGAATGATTCACATGTGAGTAACATTCACATAACATGTGCAGACCTAGAACTGTGGCACTGAGCAAATGGCTGCATATGGCTGACAATTCTCTGCTTTATGCTGCATAAGACTTTTTCATCTCAGCTAAAAGCAGAAAGAGATTAAACACTTCATAGAGGAAGGTCTTGAGAAAAAAATGGAATTAACTCTGCTTTAATTACACATTTACACAGCAGCTTGGTGCAATGATACAGTCTTTGTGATTGTAGTGCATTTGCTGGAATTTCAACCACAAATACAGATGGATTAAATAAAGGCTTACATTCAAGCAGAGTAGCATGATATACCCAGTAGAATAGCTTGTAAATTCAGACACTCCTTTTATTCCAGCAAATCATTAATTTCCTTGCTATCTTGCAAGTATTACAGTGTTTAAGCTGTAAAGAGCATTTCAGGAGATGATTTTCTTCAGGAGATAAAAGGAGATGACTTCCTCACCCTGTTCTTGAGAACCCAGTTTCTCAGGGGTTTATAAGTTTGAAACACCTGGTAATAGTGCTAAACTTAACCAGCTAAATAAAGAATTAAAACTCACAACTGAGCTGTAATAAACAAAATAGAGACCTTGGGGACTAGAATCAGACCTCCATGTTATCCATACTAATTAGAGAAAGCTGTAGTTAATTATTCAAATATGTCTGTATTCTGCAACAAATTCATCTTTATTGATCAGGGAATAACGAATTTCTAATATTTTTAGACATTCATTTCTCTTATTCCAAAAAGTAAATTTACTCTTGATCAACCGACTTTCACTTCAGTCTTTATTACTCTTTGTGATTGGACTGCTACACCCCAGCTAACTACTGTATATAATCTGCTTTGGATTGTTTTTCTCCCTACCTTTGTGGCAGTTACAAATGAAGAGCTCTCGTTAAAGAGATTCTTTGAATTTTTAATAAAGATTAAACAAAACAAATAATGCTACTTGATTTTACATGATGACCACAGGTACTGTTCTGAGAGACAGGTACATTTTTCTGCAAAGGAACAAGTAAAGGTTTATTCCATGCTGAGAAAAAAAAAGAGACTGTGGATCTCACTTCAGGTGCGACACTGTGAGCGTTCTTCACACCTGAAGAAGGCTCCACAGCCAAAAAAGTGTGTCACTTTCTTCTCTTTTCAGCCTGGAATAAAACCTTTACTTGTTCCTTTGCTCCCTACACATGCTGACGCAGCTCCCTACTTGAACGATTCTCTGTAGTCTTTCCATTCAGACTCGCAAGAAACCTCAATGCTGAAACTTTGCGCAAACATATCTGAAGATTAACAGGTGTTCATTAATGCGATTCTCCCTTTAAACTAATGAATCATCAAGTGGAGTCATCCCGGCTGATCCTCTCTGCCCTTTACGTACAATTTAATGCTCCTACAGGGGCTGAATAAATGTCCATATATCACTCCAACCCACATCTGAATTGAATCCTATTAAAGTATTATCTTAATTAATTAAGCGTGACCTCTGATGCTTCCAGTGGTCTCCAGGACATTAGAAAAATAAGAGATGCAGTGCCCACATACACCCACAGTCCTCCTTGCTGGTTAGAGCCTCTCATGCATTGTGGTCTGGGTTTGTAGTGTCTTTTAAGGAAAACCAAAAGGAGAGCTTGAGTTCTTTGTAGGGTGGCATTGTTATGTAAAACACAGAATCCTCCCATCCCATCATAATTAGGACAAGAGCAGGCCAACATGACATCTCGCTATGTAATCATGCTAATGCCGGTCATAAAAGACTGGTTTATAAAATGGTTTGATGCCTGAAAAATGAAAGAGGATTTCCATGAGAGGCAATAATTCTGTTTCTTGGATTACTGAAATTTCCGTACAACAATAGACTCTTCTATCATGAAAAGATGAAAGAAAAGAAATAATTTTCAGAGTGCAGTTAATGTCAATAGTACCGTACCTATGCAGTTAGATTATAAGGGGACTAATTTCACAAAGCAGTTAATTTAGAATGTATTTTTTAATGATGCTGAACAAATTCTTAAAAGGGATACATTTTTTCATTGTCCAGAGTATTGTACTCATATGCCTTTATTGAACAATGCTTGCTTTCTGGTATTTAACTAATAGACCATTAAAGGAAACTGACTAAACAAAAGCACATTTCAATTACAGTTCTGCCCCAGACTAAAGTAATAATGTGCGTTTGAAACTAACTATATGATAAGCAACTCCCTTTTTTTAAAGAAAGAGAGATGATTTCATAAATTCTTTACATCAACATGCTCGATGTGCTGCTCCTTTACAGCTCAGCTCAAATACTGTAATATATATATATTATTCTTTCAAAAATGGATTTGAGAAATTTTTCTGTCAATGTTTTTTAATTTTCCATGCAATAAATATTCTGGGGCCGAGTCATGTGTGCAGATCATTAAAAAATAAAATCATCCTGTAACAGATGTCTCTGGATCTTTCCGATGGAATTGGCAGAAGTATGATGTTGCTAGATGCTGTACTGGAGACAATCATTGTGTCAATAGCTTGGAGAACAACTGAATCATTTATATACTGCATTTGACCTGATTTCTCCTGACCTAATTGCGTCAGGGGGGACCGGACTTCGGAGGATTGGGATCCT